GTCCTGCCTTTCTTAGGATCCCAGGGGAAAATCAGCAGTGGCGACGTACTGCCAGTTCTTGTCAACAATGTGGCCATCTTATCATTTTTTACAGCTCGACTGCATCAATGCAGCCTGACTGCCATGGCAGAATGTCTGCAAAAGCATACATATTAGTCTTTTTTCTCTGAATTATCACCTACCATAGTGACAACCTGCTTGTGTATGTGTTAGTTAGCAGGCACTAAACTATTATTTTGTTTTGCTTTCCTTGGTTGAAACTATGTGTGGCTCCGGTCCCCCCCAGGAGCCCAGTTGGGATTAAGTGGTTTCAGGAAATGGATGGATTCCCTCCTTCTCCTTTGTCCCCCCCCTCCCTCTCCTTCTTTTGAGGAAGTAAATAAAAATATAAAATAAAATAAATAAATAAATAAAAATAATATATATATATATAATAATAAAATAAATTAATAAATAAATAAATAGATACAGATAAAGTAGTCCTCCGCAGAGGGGGGGTGGAGGAGGGAAAAAAAAAAGAAAATGGATGGATGGATGGATGGATGAAACTATATTTACATGCATGATGAACTCATATCTGGGCATCCTTTTTGAGAATGTGACCATGACATCAGTGCCTAAGGATGTATGCATAATGGTATCCAACCTTCCAAAATGACTTGTATGTAATTGTCAAGCAGTATAGCGACAGCTTCGACATCCAGCTCGATGGAGAAACAGTCGTCTTTTACCCTGAGTTAAAGCCCTTTAACCTCAATTTCTCCTGTGAATATCTAGCTCAATAAATGGGAGAATGCAAGCTATTCAAGTTGTTATGGATAAGGTTGTTTGCAAAACAAATAAATAATGTAGTAATGCTCACAATTTTATATCTCACACATTATTCATCCAGACGGATGCTTTCCTAGCACGGCGGCTGAGGTTAAGTACCTCACTGAAGGGCATATCATCCCAGGTTTGAAATCTCAGTCTTCCTCCCTGTCCTTTTTGCCTTTCTCCCTGCCGCTTTACTTACTCTGTCGCTTGCCAGTCGTACGGCTCTCTCCCTGTCTATCCCCTGCCTCTGCTGTCTTTATACCTGTGTCTCAACTTGCCTGCCCCCGCCTGTCCCTCTGATGTTTTGATTTTCCTGTAACTATGTCTTCCTACTGTGTTTGACTTGGGCTGCAATGTAGAATAAAAGCTCACCACGGCCATGCAATTTTATTTTTATAGCTTGTTATTTTGAGATGGAAATAAAAGGTAGTAAAAACAGTTTTAAAAATAATCTGTAAATGCTACTATGGAGCAGAAAAAAGAATGATCAGTGTGACATATACATCCTACTCTATGGTACTACCGTGTATTCAGAGGATGGTGTTAAGGTTTGTTTTCCCTACCTTTTATTTTAAGAAATAATAATAAAACTGGCTACATCCAAAGCATGACATACTGTAACATGGAGCAGAGATGTGTGCTGTGCTGGTCAGCCAAGGGTCTTTAAGCCATGATAGAGCCTCATAACTTTGGAAACAATAATAAGGCTCTACAACAGAAAAAGCAGAAAAATAGGGACATTCTAACAATGTAGGCCTACTTTATTCATGAATAGATTTTCATAGAAAATCTCCAAAAATCCTCATTATCACAGTTGCTTGCCCTCCTGATATGCAACACCAAAGGGCCTACTGTAGATCACAAAACCAGTTAAACAAAGTCAGGGTTAGAAGATAAGTTTCAGCTTAACAAAACCAAACAAATGTAATCTCAGATAAATTATATCACAACGCTGAATAACAGCAATGTGTGTCAGCCAGGTTTTCTTACTGAATCCAAGATTACTTCCAGAGCATGTGCACATAAAAGTGTGCTGTGTGCAACGATCAGCCAAACCCGCAAGCATGGATCGCAACAGGGCTACGTATTTCAATGCAGCCAAAGAGAGAATTATTATGGTAAAACATGAAGAATTCAAAAGGAGAGTCACAGTGAACAGCAACGCTGAAGCTGCTGTCATGGCTGGAAAGACTTGCTGCAGTGGGTCACTGACTGCGTAAATACAAACATACAGTGTGATTGCCATTATGAAAATGCCTATAATTGTCTTAATTACCAAACATATGCTTTGCTATTTTAGTAATTATTCAATACAAATTATTCCCATTTTTCCCATAATCTCTCTCTCTCTCTCTCACACACACACACACACACACAAACACACACACACACACGCACACACACATTTGTATTCATATCTTTGTGGGGACTCCATTCATTTCTAGAGGAACAACCCTAATCCCAACAATGACAACCTTAACCCCTACCCAGCCCTAACCTTTACCATGAGTAACCAAACAAAATACAAGACTTTTGGCACTTTAGTTTTTTGATTGCTTTCACAGATTTCTATAAATTTCCCTTGTGGGGAGTGAAAAAATGGTAACCCAAAATGTCAAAGTAACAGGTTGTTATCACGTTGTGGGACATTTGGTCATTATAATGTAATATACACATCACACACATGCACACACACACACACACACACACACACACAGTGTGTGGGTATGTGACTGGAAATGTCAAAGGTATTGACATATTTTAGAACGACATCTATGCTCATTCACAATTACACCATTCAAAGTGCAAAGGGTAGAATAAATGGACTAAATATCTATAAAACCTGACAAAACTTGAAAAAATGAGACAGACATGTCCAGCAAAATGTGGTTTAAACGATGGACCATGGGGGACAATGCACACCACTTGATTTTCAGATTAAGTATTTTTATACATATCAATTAATAATTCCACTGTGTACATTCACCACCAGTTACTGAACAAGAAGTACCTATGTGAACAATGAAATATTAATTAAAATCCACTTGTAAAGTAGGACTAATCTGGGAAACCAAGGGACGTACAAGAGTTGCTATGAACTCAAAATGCTGAACCAATATCTTGCTACTGCAGACATTGCCTCTTTTCATAGATATTAACAAGATTTACCACACATAGTCAAAGGGCTTGAAACACAAATATGATTGGTGCGCATCTCTGCCTGTAGACACCAAAGATCAATGATTAAAAACTGCCTGGCTTGCTTGTTGAAAGATATTACAGCCGGAAGACCGAATATCGAATACACAGCTAAATTTACCACAGCCACAGGATTGTCATGGACAAGCCATTTTGAGAGTTTGGGGAAACTCATTTACTGCATCAGGTATCATACTGACTTCTTGTCTTTGACTGGTCCAAGCACTGTTTCAGATATGTGATCCTGAAAGCTAACCTGCTCACAAGCAAGTATAGCGTGTAGCATGAGTTACCATGGTGATGTAGCCTGCTACGAAATAAACCAGCATTTTGATATCGTAATACCAGACTTGCTGCTGATTAACCTTAAAGTCATAAAGCCTGTGATACAGGTCCAAAACCAGTGTCCTGTCACCTACTTCAAAGTAGAGTGTTCCTCTTGTGGCAAACAGTGAAATGTGCCCCAGGACCGGATATGAGAGGGACAGGGGAGGACATGGGCTGTGAGGCCAGATAAAAGGTGGTGTACGCTTTGAGACCGGTCTCAACACACACGCACATCTCTCCCTAACACCACTGGGAGCTCTTTAGTGAGTCTTTTACTCAGGATCATTTGGCAACTCTCTCCATGATCAAAATGACAGTTACAGTGTATATATATATATATATATATATATATATATATATATGCTATTTCACATGCTAACAACAACAAAATAACAAGCCCAAGAGCAAGAATAACGACAAAAACAATACAGCTATTTTGCATTTATGGTATGCTTGATTGTTTTACAGGATAACCCCTGTGTAAGAAGAGTCTGATTTTGTGTTTGGTTGTACGGGCTGAGGTATTATTTCCACTGACAGATGAGATGAATAATTAATTTTCTCCAAGACATGGAAGACTGCCTGTAATTAAAGAGAGAGGTTGAAGCAACTGAGCTCCTAGCAATGGAATGAACCAGCACGCACAGAACTACAAAACACGCAAGCACAGGCAGACACAATACATGCAGACACACACAATACATGGATAAGGACACTTAGGGATGAGAATTAATATCGTTTCAACAAGCACACGCACTTCTGATAGTTCTTCGTCGTGGATCACAGGGCTGCCTTTCAGTATTTTACCCCCCTACAATCGCAGTCTTTATGCGGCTCACTGAGAGAGCCGTATCAAAGATCCCTTTCATTTCGTCACCCGTTCAGCTTAGATCACTTTCATCACCCTCACAAGCCCTCGCCGCAGGACGATCTTAATGCTGCAAGCGCGTGCCTCTTGCTTTCTAAATTGCGCGCTTAGCATCATGACTGGTTGAGCAGGACTATGGTGCAGTTTTTGACAGATTTACATTAATGGTTCGTGTTCTTAAACTTATGATTTACTTTAATCTCAGATCGTTTAAAAACAGACACGTAGACCATTGAAAGCAAATGGCACCAAAATGATACATGTAGGCTATATAACTGTTAGAAATGTTAGAACTGCACTATTACTTCTACCGCGTTCTGAAAATGTTACATGTAGCATATGCAAGGCGTAAATATCTGTGTACTGCGCCTGTCGTTAGTTGGGACATTTCTGTAAATAAATAATTAATCAAATGCATAAACATTCAACATTCACTACACTACCAACGAGCACTGATACACTCATAGATCACGATATTAAATATACAGATATATTAATGTTACTATTGACAGTATTCTACTATAGCTTTCCTTTCAGGACAGCCTCCTATTCAGGGTTGGTTGCTCGGAACAAGTAGCCGGATTCACAATGTATTGGTTGTCACGGGATATTGAGACAGAAGTCATTCACTACGCAAAGAAAAGTATACGTGTAGTGAGCAAGCCTTATGCTATCCATCAGATCGGCTAAGAAGATCCGCCGGACTGCAGACCCCCTGTTGCTTTAAGCAGTGCCCCTTTTGCGCCGACAGGAGGCGTGTCTTCTCCATTGCCGGATCGTGTAGAGACGAGAGTCTGTAGGAGCGATCTCTGCTTTCCTATTGGAACAAATGAAGTACTTTCTCTGGCTCTTTTGGCCCTTCACGGCTCATTCGGACTAGATATTCCAACGTAAGAGTGCATTTTAAAAAGTTTATTACACGCGTTTCGATTACCTTTACTTCGGTTGCAATCAAAATATTAATCCTAGAATTTGCTACCCCAAAAACAACGCAGCTGAAAACAGGAGAGTTTTAATGAAATGTTCAAGTGTTGTGCTATTCTAAAAATTGTGTGTACATTAGTATTACTTTCGCAATTGCGAGAAAGCCAGCATCACGCCGGGAAAGAATCCATCCCCGCAACGTCTCTTTTCGGATCGCTCCACGGTGAGTGATGTGTTTCTCTTCTTTTTTAAAATTCCTTGTGTGGCATCGCATTGCATGTTTTGCTGTCAGTAAACTTAAGAAGCCAAAGATTATTAACTAATGACCATATATAAACGTGACCTCGCGTTTCGCAACTCCTATTTGAAATACAAGCCAATTCAATTGTGTCCCATGTTTTGGGTTGGTAGCCTATCTATGTTAAGGTTATTATATGCATGCAAACAAATTCCTGTTGTCAGTGGCTTTAACGCGATTCGCTCTATGAATAATCCGTACATAACGTTCAATCGTCCCTGGTGAAAAGTCTCCGACGACTAATGCATGCAAATTCTCCGTCCGATGGGCACGTAATGGGGGTGTTTCAAAGCCTTAAATCAAGTTTATGAGCCGGTGTCGCGGTCTGTCGCGGGCAAACCGCACAGATAAACCGACATTCAATTCTCACGCTACTTTTGTGGAGTCCACAGATTGAAATTGGAAACCGGTCATTAAAATGTGATAACCATCATAGTCCACGTGCAGATACCTTGATAAAGAATTAACATCGGAACTGTCAGAGAATGGCACCCCCCCCCCAACACACAAGTTAAATTAAAGGCTTATTCTTCTCAAAAAATGGGCTATCAGGATAGATTTCTTAGCATCGGAGTAAATCCATTCACAGTTTTACACCAAGTAGGGTATATAGTTTTCAGATTATTTTGAATAATGTTTATTTCACTTTAATTGTTTATAGCCTGGAAACTGCAAGAACATAATTTAAACGCATAGACGCGGACGACAAACGCCAAGTGCAAATCACCTATACCTTCACAAGTCGAGGCAGGAAAAATAACGTCCAATTAGTTATTTTCATGATAACGACAATATCAGGTATTCAATGGGGGGGAAATTTGCACTCGGAGTCATTGATTTCATTATGGGCATCTGTCTACATTTCAGCGATAGGTCAGGAGGTTCTTCAGCCTGGGAATAAAATTTGACAGAACCGCGTAAGAGCACACTGTTTACTTCCGAGTATAATAAAATAATGACTTTTAGGAATCACTTCATAATAAATTGTGGTAGACATTGTTTTAATGCTCTTATTGCTGTATTTTAGGAATGACGAATTGCACTGTAGATTTCACATGGGGGTTACTTAATATTTGTATAGCATATTCAAAAAGTACTAGATGTATTACTATAAGCACGATATAAATAACAAACCAAAACGTACAGTTTCCCTGCGCGTTTTAAGCCACAAACCTCATCGTGTTGCTGTCCGTGGTGCTGAAATCTAGATGTAATCGATAAACGACGAAGCCATTTGTGCGGGCGATAAGATAAGCCGTGTTTTTACTAGAACTTTCGTAAACGATATCATTGCAGACTAACATTTTGTACAAGGTTTATAATATCAAAAGGCACTTAAGAAAAAACAAAGTAGAAGCATTTTGGAGAGCGATTCTGACGATGGGCTGTATTTGTGTGCTGTGCATGGAGTAGCTTCACTGCTTCATGCCTCAGACGAGCAGTGTTTTCTCGACTCAGTGTAGAAGCTCTTTACACAATATCGGTAACTATAATTGCGCTAAGTTACTATACATTTGATGTTCTTTTCAAAGCTACAGACGTTGGAAAAATATAAGGCATTATGTGAATAAAGCACAATAATGTGAATTCTGCCAACGTTGTAGTAGTTTTGAATAATTCACCCTTAGATAATTTTCCAGATGAAGTTATCACAACCTAAAGAAAAGGAAATCAGTAAAAACAACCAGTGGAAGAAATGAAGTTCATTAACGGGTCTCACATCCTTCAATTACACCTGTCCGCTACACAGTTACAAATCACATCGCAAATACGCATTTCTGCGATCTGCATCTTTTTCATTTTTTTTCCCCCCTTAACATTATAATGAGAATTGTTATTTATTTAAATATGTTCCGGGAAAATATTACAAAAGTATCACTTCTGTTTCTGCTACTAATGACACTAATATTAATTAGCTTATTGTTTTCAGGTTCAGTATTTATAGAAACACTGAGTTGTGTTATAATCTCCGTCGAAATGTACACAACGCGCTTTACCCGCTGTGGATCAATAAGGCTGTAAATGAATTGGTCCTCTGGATCGCCCAAGTCTTTCTGGGTGACTTTCAATTTTCCGACTGAGTATGGGTGTGATATAGTTAATATATGGCTATTTTACAAGTCTCTAACTATGACAACCACAAGCATTGCTGCTTTATGGATAGACATTATCAGAAAATGAAACGTGTGCAATTCCTAACTGTCTTTGCATATTGTGGACATTCGAAGATGAATATTTATAGCACCAAAGGCATGCCCCCTCCCCCGCTACAGGAAAATTCTAATTATAGAAACGTTGCATCCTGTACTAGGGCGCAACACTGAAGGATAGTTGCATGGATAACATGGGATCGGGAGCGCTCTGTGGTCAGTGGCACGAGCAGAAAAGGAAACTCTCCTCGCGCTTGCTCTCTCTCGCGCGCCCACTGATCTTGGCTCTACGTCAGAAGCTGTGCAGCAGTGCAGTAGAAGGGGAGCGCAGACAACTAGCTGCCTTATAGGTTGATCCTGCGATTCTGCCTTTGCGCGCTCCCCCTCTTCGTGGCGGTCCAGTCTGGATATTTAACGCTTCTCTTCCCTTCTTTTTTCAGACCCCCCGCGTATGGATTTCTTTCGGATTTGCACAGTCTAACATGGATGCCCCGCCGTTCCTTGAATCGGAAGGCTGTTTCTTGGCGCAGTGAGAGAGGGGACATGCAGGGATTGCTAATGGATTTGGGAAGCATATGCCCTCATCTCTAAGTGACCATGCCGTGATCCTGCGCCTGGGCCGTAACCCTGCTTAACGTCAACAGAAGAATTTCGGGGAATCTAACGATACGAGGAATGAACACTGTGCATTATACAAACACCATGAAGATTACCTCCCCATTGATAACTAATGTGAGCTTCAGGTGCACCGTTAGGTTTTCTCTGCTGCTATTACTATGTGTGGGATATTCTCGGGGGATGCCGCATGTTTTAAGATTTGGTAAGAACATTTTTCTTCACAAATTAATCATGTACATCAAAATGTATTTTTATCGTGGCGTTCAACAGTTTCTTCTCCTATGTGCTTAAGTTATTTTGGACGCCATAGCTACGGCTGCACTTCCCGTTCTACGTGTTGCCGTGACCCCATCAGTACCCTCGTTTTTTCTGTCTAATATCAACTCGCGTAACGGAGGCGGCCAGATTTAAGCTACAGGTGTACTGTCGTTCACTATCATGTGAATAAATCAAGAAATAATATGTAAGAAATATTAGTTAAAATTAAGAAAACACTAGATTCTGTCGTGTAGAGGTAGCCTGAGAACACATGGTGGAAATTCTGAAGTTACTAAACACATACGTACGGTCTGCTATCACCCAACCAGCCAACCATCCAACCGAAACAATTATCTATCTATCTATCTATCTATCTATCTATCTATCTATCTATCTATCTATCTATCTAATTCCGTTTAGTTTTATGCCAGGGTTTGTTTTAACTATTCATTATTCTTTTTCTTCTAAATTACAGAAATGAACGTTAAAACACAACTCTGCTTGCCTCTCACCAATACTTTGTATTTTACATACCACAAGGAAAATAAATCATTTTACTAAAGTCACCTAATGAATCAGATAACTTTGAGAAAATGTTATGAAACATCAATATTTCTTCATTAATTCCCCCTGTTACATGCATGTAACTGCAAATGAAATTACATATTGCATAGGCTCCGAGCAGTTGTCGATTAAAATTATCAAATTCCCAAACTAACAGACAAAAATGTTGAAATAGCATTACGGGTTTGAATTAAAATGATTTTGATTAATGAAACGAAGTTGCACTCCTTACAGTTTTGCCATTTAGAGAAAGGCAGGGCTTTTGTGGAAGGTATATGTTTGTCTCTGGAGTTAGATAGGTAATCTTGGAAGAAGCGTGCGGATCACGCGGTCCCTGTCAAGCATTAAAGGCACCCATGACCTGTAACCTGGGAAACTTGCACTGTTAAATTACTTGAACATTTTAATGCCAGTGGCATGTGAGATTCTGCATGTGTTTGTGTAGCTTGTTTATCTGTGTGAATTTCCTATCCTGTTGATTCTTTGTTGCGCAAAACTCAATAATTCATATGATCTAAATCTGCTTCTTGTATAATTCCCAGGACTACGTGTCCTTCGTCTATTGTTATTAGGTAGACTATGCCTTTCATGCTGTATATTCACCGTTATGAACTGATGGACATAGGCCTGCGTTATGTAATTATTAACCGGCCTCAGACATACCTACCTGAACTAAGCATGTGTGAACATATAACTTTAAAAGTGCATGCCGACATTTAAAAGTCAGAAGTAGTTAGTGATGAAAAGACTGATTTCTTATGACTTAAGCCTTGTCTCGCATTCATTGGTTGCTCTCGCTACGTTGCCATTAGCAACCATTGCATGGCATGCATTGTTCTCATCAGTTTTACATTTAACAGAATCATGCGAATTGGAAAAAAATACCTGGGAGTATCAAGCGGCTGCACTTCTTGTTTGTTCACTCCAAACGCAGTTTGAGAATCTCTCCTGGTGCCGCATTCATTTATGGACATGGTAGGCCAACGTGATTAGCCGTCCATAGACGCTAATCAATTATTACATCCTATCAGCAGTTTTCGCCGGAAAGGCGTGTGGCGTTTGCCGAGCGCTGTATTGCTTCGATGTGATTTCAGTTAATCGCCTTTCACCGTCGCGCTCCGTTAGGGTATCGCGGTTTTCAGTGTTCGGTGATACGACATCTCCCGTTTACAGTATTCCACAATGGCGTGCTTATACGAATGGCTGATGATCAAACTGCTGCCAGAGACACATATTACTAATCGCACGAAGCCCTGTTTGTAAGGCAGGTCGCATCCACACTAGCTGGCACTATGGCAACGACCAGGGCTTTTTCTTTACTATTATCATTCCTCGTTAACTTCAGCACTCTTTGCGTCTTGCAAAAGCGGCTGGAAATGGAGGTGGGAAGCATCGACAACACCGGGATAGAACAAGATAAACCTTGTCATGTACGTGTATGCTAAAACGTTCATTTGGATTTTTAAATTAATTTAAAAAGTAGTATATTGAGGAATTATATGTTTTTAATGCCTGACTTACTATACCGAATCGTAGACCGCAAGCTTTACGCTTTTCAGTGGAAGTCTACAAGTCACAGACTGCCCTAGTATTTGACGCCAGTTCATTGGTGAAGTAAATTCTTTCTTGTTTCCATCCATCCATCCATCCATCCATTTTCTAATACCTATCCTGCTCAGAGTGACGGGGAGCTCTCCTGCCCCCAGTACTACCAGTAGCCTACTACTTGGACGGAGATCGCTCACCTCAGGAACTTCAGACATATTCAGCCTGGTCCTTTCATCTGCAGACGTCGTAGCATCGGTATCGGAAACGCTTAGATTTTAGAGATCAGCGTGGTTTAGAGTAGGCTATAGATTTCTTTTTGGCGGAAGGGCGATGGATTGTAATCCAATGTGTACAGGTGGATTAGGACTGTGACACAATGTTTCATGGAAATAATCAGGCTATTTGCGTCCTGGCTTTGCAGCAAACTAAATACTATACTGTATGACACTAGACAACATGTAATATACACTAGATAAAGGTTCCGTTAGGGAAGTGTACATTTCTAACAACAACAATAATAATAATAATAATAAGAATTATTATTATTATTATTACTTGATTTAATTGAATTTGCTTAGTACCTTTATGAAATTTAAACTACCGAGCAGTTAATTATAGATTATGGTCACCGCTAACCTATTTGATACTCCAAATAAGAACAATAAGATGCTATTAACTGGGATTTTAATGTGACGTTAGATGCTACCTACAATTATACATGGTTGTATTGTTCTAGAAACACATGCACACACGCATATGTGTATGTGTGCTTTATTTTATGTTTACGGAAGTTCGTTAACTACATATAAATTACGTCACAATATAAAATTAGACTTTGTATGTATTCCATCAAAATGAAGAATGTATGGAGTATTTCGCTGTAACACTATGTCTGTATATACAGTGACCCAAGAGACAGCTTCTCTGTGAAAAGATGATGTGTCTGAATATTTGAAGGAAGAGACACAAGTAACCTTATACCTTTAAAAACTGGAGAGCCACAGATCTGCTGTGAATAAGGAGAACCAGTGTTGTGTTGCCAGTTTGGCTATCTGTGCAGGATCTGCTGCCTCTGCCTTATACTGCTCACAGAAACATCCCAGCACTGATTGGCACATTATATACACTATAAGGACAAACGTATTGGGACACCATCCTGTCCAGCATCTCACTCAGAATCAATGGGTATTAATATGAAGTTGACTGACCCTTAGTTGCTATAACAGCCTGTACTCTTCTGGGAAGGCTTTCCATTAGACGTTGGAACATTGCTGGTGAGATTTGCTGCAGTTCAGGTTGGGTATTGATGTTGGGTGATCCGCTCCCTTTCTGTGAGCTTGTGTGGCCAAACGCTTCACAACTTGCTCTCAGACATTTTGACCTTCACGATCACTCAGCTTGCAGTTGACCAGGGCGGCTCTCGCAGGACAGAAATGTGGAGACTCGACTTGTTGGAAAGGTGTCCGACGACAGTGCTAGGTTGAATAACATCTTCTGTATGACCACCCATTCTGCTGCCATTGTTTGATGCTGGAGATTGCCTGGTTCTGTGCTTAATTATACACCTGTATGTCAGCAGTGGGTGTGGCATATGTGGCCAATTCCTGTAATTGCTATGGATGTCCCAGTGCTTTTGTTCATATAATGTATTAATAAAGTGGGGAAATGTGGCCCCATCCAAGTGTAACATGATAACATCCTCAGCTCTCCTGCATAAATCCTGGGCCATCCTTGCATTATTTTGGTAGAACCCGGAACCTGAAGCTGAACCCAGTCATGTGGTGCGATCATGACCATGATGTTAGCCTGCTGAGGATGGTGAGAATGTTCTGAGGTCTGTGTTTAATGGTGCGGGGGGGGGGGGAGCACTGTCACAGGCCCAATGTGAGACAGCATCATAACCATATTCGTGCTCTTTAAACTCGAAATTAAATTAGTGGCTGGTGCTCAATTGATTTTTATTTTTTAGCAAGAATGCAAAATGATGCGGGTATTTTCTGATTGACTGATTTTCACTTTGTCGGCAAAGCTGCTGAAAGATATGATAACATTTTGATAAGCAATTGAATGAGTTATGTCAAACACTGCAATGCTCTCACTCCGGACATCTTATAACTAAGATAAGTATCTAAACTCAAAACATTTAATTTAATCCTTTTGTAGTGACACTCTTCCAGTTCAAATTACAGTTGTGGATGACACTGTTGGTTACCTGAGAAGAGCTTGATACGTCCACTTCCAGATCGATGTTACCATTGTCTCAAAGAAGAAAAGACGGCTTTAAATTACGGTCATAGCACACAAAGAACCTCACTGTATGCGTTTTTCTTTGAATTGCTTGTGAGTAAGTAGCTTTTGTTTAAAAACAATGCCTAGATTAGTGAATCATTGAGTGGAAGTTGTTAGGTAACAAACAAGGCTTTATTAAATAAGCCAAAGTACTTGCTTCTCATCACATGTTAGTTCCTAGTTCAAAAGGAGCCCATTTAACATATCACCATGCTACCTGTATGTGTTTAGCATGCCACCATGCTACCTGTACGTGTTTAGCATACCACCATGCTACCTGTACATGATTTAGCATGCCACCATGCTACCTGTATCTGATTTAGCATACCACCATGCTACCTGTATGTGTTTAGCATACCACCATGCTATCTGTATGTGATTTAGCATGCCACCATGCTACCTGTACGTGTTTAGCATACCATCATGCTACCTGAATGTGCTAATATCATTATTATCAGACACCTTTGGGGATAAGCAGTAGCAGACGGTGATATATAGCCACTGTACAAGCTCGTATGGTTTCTGCAGCTTCTGTTTACCTTG